CAACGTCCTTGATCTGTTGTAAGCTGCTGCTGCGGCGCTGCGGCGCTGCGGCACCTGCAATCGCTTATTACGCGCGCGCTCGGTAAGCATAATTCGCGAAAACCTTTCACCGCGTGCTACACTACCACGACGACGGTCATGTTTATTACGCCCAGTTCGTTACTTTACGACGCACAACAGACACTTCCGTCGCTTTTAAACTTCGCCTGACACCTTTACGATGCTCGCGGCCACTGAAATCTATCGTCTTTATCTCTGTGAGAATCGATTCCAAAAGTAGTTTTTGCACTTTTTTTAGTGAGCTACCTAATGACTCTACGTGTCACTCGCAATAAATCCACACTCCTTTCAGCTTTGCAATATATATATATATACATACATATTGTCTTAGCTTGTACGCGAGGTTAATTAAAGTACCATGAAAAATATAAATTGTTTCGTGTGGCGACATTGCTTCGCTTCCGTTCACACCGATTTTTGTAATTGATTCGGGGTCGTTTGCTTTTTTATCTTTGGCAATTTCTTTACATAACTGATTAAGCGTGAAACCGTGATTCGTTTTGTCACCATTGAGGGATCGTTTACATTCAATTACCAGAAGTTTGGATATTATATGTTAGTATTTTAACTATGTAACATTTTCAATATTTAGTGCTGAAGCACGTTTCGAGATAACGAATCTGTGCCAATAAATTTATCCATTATAACTCCTTTCACTAGTAGTAAAATTAAGTTACGCATTTTTACTGAAATCCCCCAGAAAATGTCATCTGACAAATCCCAAGACAAGTATGCGACTAATGAAGCATCGTGCCGTGCGTTGTAAAATTCTACACCGATTACAAAATAGGTCCACATGCGCAAAGCTCAAGCATATGTGTTCGTACCGATATTTGGAAAACCCGTTTGAAAATTAATTAACATAAACACGTGTGTTGTTATATGATTAAACATTCTGATTAAACATTTCATTTTTTTTCTGAGTTAGCCCGCATTGCCACCGAACAGCCGTTGAAGCCGATAACTTTCACATAGTGATCTAACAATCAAAATGTTGGAAATAATGAAAATATCAATCTAGCAATACACGATTTTTCAAACTCGAATAGATCAATCACCCTTTCAAGTGTAAAAATTGTAAGTAGAGCTCGAATAACAAAAAATAATAAAATTATTAGTAACTGATCGACAAATTGATAACATAGAAAATGATAATTATATCTATGCACTTAAGCTTATTAAATTTCAAATAAAATTAACTACTGTCATATAGAATATCCATTCATTGCCACAAAGTGTCGAAAGGTGTGTGTGTGTGTGTGTGTGTGTGTGTGTGTGTGTGTGTGTGTGTGTGTGTGTGTGTGTGTGTGTGTGTGTGTGTGTGTGTGTGTGTGTGTGTGTATATATATATATATATATGTATAAAAGATGTTTCGTATCGGTAGAACTTGGTCACCCGAGAAAGAGAATGAAAGAGAAAAAAAGTAAAAAAAAACAAGAAAGAAATGGAAAGTCGCGCGCGCGGATATTCACGCTACGGTTACACGAGAGTAACAGAATGATCGCCGGGGTTCTGGAAACCGAAATTTCATAAATAATTCCCAGAGCATTCGCCGTGCGACCAAGTGTGACGCCGCGCGCGCTTGTTTCTTGAAAGTGCAAGCCACACGCCAGAATTTGTGCACGGAATTCACCTGCCGCACATGACTACAAAGCTAATTTCTTTCCTTTCTTTTTTTTTTCTTTGCGTTACGCGGACGTATTTTTTAATGATTGCTATCTGGTTTATCGAGTATTAATTGATATTGAAGTTATTTATTGGATATTAAATTTCACGAACGACTTTGAATTGCAAGGTTACTTGCCGAATGCATGAGTAAACGATGAGAAAAAAAAATTATATATATTTTAACTGTTACAACGATTATAATTCGTCTTTAAAATCAATGTCAGTGTTGACTAATGATTGATTTATGCAATATCAAACTCATTTTTCTCTCTCCGATTCATCAGTTGATATGGCTGCTTAGCTTGTCTGTCAAAAGATCTTCGTTACTTAATACATTTAAATTTCTTTTCGTAATAACTATTTGTAAGCAAGCTATGATGTCAAAAATTTTATGTACAAAATAATTGATTCACGATCAAATATATGTCGCAATAATAATTATCAGTACCATTTAATAACATTAATCTTTCGATATATCCTATAATATTATTGTATCCTCCTTTGCGAGTTCGATTTTTCATAGTGCATTATATTATTTTTTTTTGTTTGTAATGAATTCCATATTCAACAACTGTGGATTAATTAAAATGTACGTTTAATTATAAAACTGATCAGCAAGCCACTATCATTATGAGAATATAAAAAAAATTATGAGACACCGACACATCGACAGAAATTATATAGGTATACGCATAGAGAAACAACTTTTACTTAGCGAAAGTGACGAGCCCAGATGATGACGAAGAGAAAAGTAAGGCGCGTCTAAAGAGTCATTGAGCCTTCTACTTTCGCAAAGCCCTTGAAAACTATGATTAGCACAGGGCGAGTCTCCGCTCGGCCTTGTCAAACAATCCACTCACTTTTTTCGCAACTTCTGTAATTTTTTTACATTCGACGTTATTGTCTGCCCGAACAAACCTAGATTTGTCGATCGATCGTTCGTATTAATACGTATGTATATTACGTCACGTAGATTGAGCTAGTACTGCGAAATCAAATAGTTGATTTCACTCTTGCTTTGTCAAAGGATATTTTTTCTCGAATTTGTGCATTGTAATCTTATTACCCAGTGTTAGACTGATATGATGAATATTTATGGTCCTTTTATTTAGAATTTTTGAACTATTTTGTTTATGTGATTGTCCAAGGTCTAGATCAATTAAAATGTTATTTATCTTAATAAAACACAGATACGATCTCGTATATTCATTAGATTCATAGTTTGTTTTGAGTATCATTGAACACTAACTAACACATTAGGCGAAATGTATTAAATTGTTGTTTAATAACGCATGTTAATTTTATTCTTGATTCCATCGACACAGCTTGAAAAGAAAGTTATAAAATTGCAATATCTTGATAAAAATGAATGAATTCTAGAAATTAATTTGTAATATAGTGGATTATCATTCCTTCCTGATTTTATACCTTTAAAAACTGATGAAATGTATTTATTCTTAGTTCCTTTATTGTACAATACATATTGTATATACTGATGGTAGTTTACCTCCTCAAAAAGAGAGTGAATTGTAAATCACTTGAAAATAAATAAACTTATAGACATATTTTTATTACGCCATAAAGCTGATACGAGCGAATCGATACGAATCAGATATATAAATTTATAGATTATATTTAATAAAAGCGTGGTTTTCGTTTGTTAATAGCCTTTGAGTTATACTGCATGGAACGATAATATATTTAAATTATCGAAACAGGGTTTTCCCACGAATAACAACACGTTTAAGAGGAAAAAGAAAATTCAATCGTACACTAAACGTAATGCAATTTGAATGGTTTTAGTACTTCAAATATACAAGAGCTAATTGCTCGAAAATTAATCTCTCGCACGGAACAGCTGCCGTGAAAATAATCGCCAGTCGAATAAAAATAGCTTGCTCAACTCTCTTCAGCTATGCTATCGGTGTCAGACTCGTTTTCTAAACGCGTCAATCAGCTACTCGATGTAGCAGGCGTTTAAACCATCATCAGCAGCATTTTTATCAGCCGAGAAAGGAGCTCCTCGAGCCTCGGAACTTCCGAAAAAAAAAAGCGAAAGATCCAAGGGATCGCCGCATTAATTCCTTGCTCGCTCTCGCGGCGGCAGCTTCTCTCTGGAGAATCTCTCGACACATCTATCGGTGTTGCGAAACGAATGCCTGCAGCATCTTTCTACTACGTCAATTTCTGGACTGTGTAGACAGGATTGACTAGGTTTTTTTTCTCCTTCTCGTCTTCGCTGTCACAAGTTCGCTCTCACACGATGTGAGGAAAGTAGCATCACTCAGAGGATATTTATTACCCTTAATCGTCATATCAAATATTTATGAAAAACGAAAAAAATGTTTTACGTAACATGTCGAAAATTCGTAAATTCTCCAAACTGTAAATTTCTGATTACCTACAAAATATTTTATTTCAATTTACGTTTGAAATAACTATTTTAATCATGTCTTTTACTTCTGTGTAGTTATCATTCTCATTTTCATCAATTAATTTCGCTAATTAACGTACAAACCACACCATCGTCATTAGACGAAATCGCGCAGTTCGACGCGTAAATATGCTACAATAAAACTAAAATTAGTTATATAAAATCTCAACAACGACCAGTTAGTCTAATCTAATTGGACACATTAAGTCGCGGGATAAAATAATAGCAATGATCCTTTAAAGGGAAGACTTACGAGTAATCGGGTTCTACCGCGAATCCGTACTCATTGTGTTTCATTTCGTTCATTTTCTTTTAGTCAGGAAGTTAAAGAGCAGAACCTCTCGTGATAATTAGTGCATTGGATAAGAGGACGAAGAGGCGGACGGTGAAAGCTACCGGCGGCGAAGTCCTTATATCTTTTTTTCTTTTGTCTCGTATCCATTCGACTCATCTTCGCGATGATATCCTCTGCAAGATAAATTTGGCACACGTGCCTCTCCGTATAAATTATATTCAATGAGGCACTCAAATTTACTTGTATTTCAGTGTCGATATTTGTGCCCTCACCGAGGCAATTTTAATGTTAGACCAGGGCTTAATAACTTTACCGTATTTGAAGAGGAGCAGTTTTTTATTTCTCGTGTTTATGCTGAAAGTCTTCGCTCGCTGCAACGAATCATTTTTAACAATCAATTAAATGCAATAGTATCTTATATTTCTCATTATGGAATGCTGAAATTACGAATTTGTCAATTAATTGTTAACGCCATTGGTTGCGCATGATTCAGAGAATGAGAAATTATTTGTACACTTGGCAAAGCTTCCTTAGAAATGAAAATGGGAAAGCTTATACTTATGCGGAGTCATTTCTAATTCGTGGAATAATTATAATAAAATTATGTTAAAAGACGAAATAACGAAGTGAATAATATCTTCAAGGAACGTCATTGCATTCGGTTTACTAAGAAAAAGTTTTCGTAAATTTCATCAAAGGATAAAAGTAAGTGCCATCTTCGAAAAATCGCATCGTAAAAAAGGCAAAACATAATCGTTAATAATCTTCGTAAAGAGTTGGCTGCTTCGACGTAATCGTGTCGAACTCTCTACCGAAGCAATGGAAACTTAGCCAAGGGCGTAACGATGTAGAAGCGCACATAATTGGCAGCAAACTACCCGAGTATAGTGTAACTTGAGGGTTCCCTCTTTGCGATTGCGTAAAAATTGAAATCTCTTAGGCACCTGATGGATTCCTGCGGCTTCCTACCTAATTGGGAAAAAAAAATTTTTTTTTTCCAATTGCGTACTCCACTTTTGTTCCACACCTACGGAATTAAATTTTAAAAGTTTATTTTATTTTATTTTTTGCATATTAGTTTATGTGCGATCGAACATCGCACACTTGGTATTTATGGTTTTTTTGCGAAATATAATTCATTTGAAAATGATAAAATTATCATGTACGAATCGTTCAAACATAGCTGTAATATGCAGTCTCTTGTTATCGTGCCGCAGGCTATTCTGATCAAGTTCTACGAATGATAAATTATAACCGAATTAGCCATACATCATTCCAAGTGTCGATTCAAATGTTCTTTTAAAATAATATCTAAATTAGTTATTCATAACTCATTTTGAAAATGATAACAGCCCATAATAAATGGCAGCGTTCGTATATACAGCACTGAAATAATCAATAATTACAGAGTAATTAGCTTGAATGAGTATACTATTTTGCAAAGTACGATCTATTCTGGTGTCATTAAAATTTCAATATACTTCACCATTTCAGAAATATTTTTGGTTATGATATATTAGTTTTTCTAAATAAGTGTCTGTAAATATTATAGAAATAATTTTTCTTTCGATAACTTTCTATTATTTTTTCTGTTGCAGTCATTCTATCGTTATTCAATCTCAAACATGGCTTCAGATTGTGCAGCGCGGGGGAGCCTGGTGTAAATAACTCTATTACTTTCTACTTTTTTAATGTTAATAACTATTATTATATGCGGTTGCTTTAGTGAAATAATTCTCTTGATTTTTTTTATAAAGAATAATAAATGTTAATTATTGCTTACGAGTAGCTTCATTGGATTATAATTTTAATTTAAAAAGAAACATGATTCAAATTATTCTTGTTGTATGACATCTAGTCAAAATTAAAAAAAACAAAGAACATAAAATGATTGTCTGAACGAAAACTGATACTTATATGATCGACTGGATTGCGTAGTATTTGGACTTCGATAACTTGCCAGAGACCAACTTTTCGTGTCAGGGGAAGGTGATTGGCGGATACTACGCGGATGTTGAGGCTGGCTGCCAGATGTTTCACGTGTGTACAATCGGGCAGAAAGGTAATACGGTGTACACATTTTCTAGTTGCCACGCGCGTGGCATTATCCGCGTTCTATTGTATATGTTATCAATAACAATCTCCACCAGTTGATTTACTTTTACGGCGTTAGCGTGTTTCCATTTTCCATTGAGCCTTTCCTTGTGATTTCACTGCATACTTAACTTCTTGCTTACACTTGTATGATATTAAATGAATGGCGCATTCGGAGCAATGTAACGATCTCTCTCCCTCTCTCTCTCTCTCTCTCTTTCAGCTCATTTTGAAAAATCAGAAAACAAACATAAGATAAATGTTGCAATTTACAAACTCGTGCGCTCACATTAATTTCATACTGCGAGAGAGAATCTCCAAAGCACGAATCATCTAAGTGTATATAAAGTTAAGCTTGTATAGCTTCGCGCGTGCAAAACCTAGGCTTTTTACCAAGAAAAATTAATCGTGATTCAAATCAGTCTTTTGAAATTTCAATCCTCTGGCGATGAAAAACGTACTTCAAGATTCAGGTGCGTCATGCGGGTGTCGCTGTGTTATAACAAAAGTTCAAAGGCGCGTTTAGTAACCTTTCAATTCTTCTATAAGCAACTCTATAAAATATTCTTTCGCGTGACTCCGATGGTATATACGTCGATTGCTTGTTGCTTCGATTCTCGGGCTTTGATTATACTAAATATCAAGTTTCATGTACCTAGACATAATAATTGCGCTAGTAAGTGCTATAAAGAATCTGTAAAGTTTGCTTGCTCATGACACCGATTTTTATAAATTGATGCTTAGAATATCATTCAGCTTTTATTTTACAATCGCTATCAAAACCGTGCAATAAAAGCTTAAAATTATTAATAACAAATTGTACATTTATACTATTGATTTACTTAAGCTATTTATTCATTATTATTTTGATATTTAGTATTGCTACGATGACATCATACAATATTACGAAAACTAACTAAAGATTATTACTTTTTTAAATTTGTTAAATATAATAATTTTTATAAGACCTTTAAACATGGTTTTCAGATGAGATAATGGACATAAAGTTCCTTTGCCTAAATGGAACTGTATTCGACCAAGAGACAAGAGTCTGTGAAAGAGTCGACGAAGTCGATTGCAGCAAGAGCGAGCGGTTCTACAACCTCAACCTCGAGCTTTATGGAAATAATGCCGTGACACTTAGGTGACTGACTATATCTTCTCTCATTACTCTCCGAAAGTCTTACAATTGTAGCTCGCTATGTACGTTTTTAGCAAAAACGAAAGAAAACCTGCAATCATTATCGAATCAGGTCATGGTACACGGATTTTCTTTCCATTGTAACTGTTGGAAATTAAAAAAAATGAGCATTACATATACACCTTGTATGTGGATATTTACCAACACGTGACCATGCACACGAGCGGGAGTTAAATAAGATAACCATGCACAATAAGGATTATAAATCTTTGTTATTGTTTGACAGATTCTTAATCTAGAGGTGAATATTTTTTCGCAATTAATAGTAGCGACGTAGCCCGACCGATACGTGAGAGAGCTCGAAAAAGAAAAAAATTATCTCTCCCCGAACGATTGTTATCGTGCATCGAAATTGTCCATTCTACGCTGGGTGCACAGTGCATGCAATTTATAAGTCGCGCGCAGGGCAAAGAGATCTGGAGCGTGATAACGTCATTGCCACGCTGAGGTACGCTCAGGATAATTATTGCCGATCAATTGACAGCTCGATCGATTACGATGTGTGCGCTCTCGGTGCTGCTGCTGGACGCTTATAACGCCAAGATGGATGCGATTTCGAAAGGACCTTAAACTAACACGGGGACTCTATTTTGTTTTATTCACTAACGACTTTATAACTTCCATTTTGTGTACCTACACAAAAAAAAATATCATTTCGATTAGTGGGATTTTACTGTGTGAAGAAGAGAAGTATTTTTTTCAAACTTAGGTAGTCTTACTTTTTAATTTATTTCAAAACATAACCGCAAGGACCATCTTAAAATCACAAATGAAAAAATCAAGCAAAAAGCCAAATTCATATTCTTCACGTATTTTCTTATATAAAAGTCTAATCAAATTATTAACTTTTAACAGTCTTCACGAGGTAGAAGACGATGAAGATTTCACGGAGCCTCAAGACGATCAACAAGAGCCTTACATGACGTCAGCTCGACCGAGTACGACGAGTACAACGACCACGACGACTTCTCGCCCTAGTCAACCGTCAACGACCTCAGCTAGCAACAATTATCAGCAACATCCTACGGGATATCCACAACATTTTCAACCTCGACCTGCTTTTCAATCTGGTCAGACGGGTCAATCTAATTCTCACTTCGATGATAAGAATGGTGGATATCATCATCAATATATTTATCACAATGATGAGAGGAACAATAACCAAGCGACGTCTTATCAACTGTTCAGTAATCAAGGAGTTAGTTCTACGACGCCTACACCGCCTGTGCATCAACAGGTATCGCATTTTAATTATTTAATGTTTCAGAGCTTATTCGAACAGAAAAAAGTAAGAGCATGGTTCTCATGATAGCGTTGGTTACAGGTTCGATACAGTTCAACTGCTAACCCACAAGTGATTCATAATGATCCTTCAACAGCGTCACCGCTACAATACCACGTCCAATCAACATCGTCGACAATTCAAACACTCCTGAATAGTAATTCGAATAATCCTTCTTTGATCAATCCATTGTTTCATAATCACGGAATTGCCAGCACGACTGAACAATTTAGCGTCCACAATAATAATCCACGGGAGATTGCTGAGTATCATGACGATTCCGAAGAACATGAAAAGCGGAGTGAGCGACGACCACTGGAGCCAGTGCAATCGACCAATAAAGGAAAGGTAATAACTATGACACAAGATTTATTATAATAATTCAAAATGTTGAAAATTTAATGATAGTAATGTAATTATAACTAACTGATAAATTTTAAGGTTTCGAAATTAATAATATCTCCAGTACCACAATCGGAGGATTCATCATCGACAATACAATCAAAAAATGGTCAAGCATCGCAACAACAAAGGATATCGATCAATTATTTACCAACGCAGAATCCATCGCAAACCACCATCAATGGTTTTTTTTCCACTCAGCGGTCTACATCTCAGAAACCACCGAAAAATCTAAATAATCAAGTTACACAGCACATACATGTTCCACCTCCACTATCTATCCCTCAATTGAAAACGCATCAAATAACTATCAATTTACCGCCACCAGATATTCAAAGAATAGTACAAAATCCATCTCCTCTTCTGCCATCTCAGTCACGAGTTATTGTCACAGCAAAAGCAAGTGTAAGCGACGAAGCTGGAAGACCTTTAAACGCTAGTCAACTAATTACACTTCCTTTGCCTACAATCCCGTCTACTTATGATGATTATAAAGAAGGAGATGAATCATTCGATCCATTTTATAGAGATGTTCCAAAAATACGAAATAATCGACGAATAATATTTAGACACATAGAACCTCGTATGAGAAATTTCAGGAAGAAAAGATCTATTGATGCTGAGGAAAATGCTGGTAGTTCTGAAGAAATAATTTTTGATGCAGAAATAAAAGATATTGAAGATTTAAAGTCAAACTTACCAATTATCAAAGCAATTCTTTTTGGTTTGCCTATACCAGAAAATGATGAATCTGCACCGAGTACAGAAAATATTGATAGCAAAAATGTGAATGATAAGGGTTTGGATAAAAAAACTCCAGTTACTCATGAAGATAGTGTCTCATATAAAAATATTAAAACTCAACCTAACCCAGTCATTCAGCATGCTTACGAAAATATACCGAGTAAAGTCAATCAAAAAGACAATCCCGATATGCCTAGGAACGTAGAAGCTCCTAAAAGTAGAACAAAAAATTCTGACCTTCGAAGAGAAAATAACAGACAAAATTATGGATATCCCAGATTAACTTCGCGTCAAAGATACACTAATCTAGCGGCAGTTGATCATAAAATGATGGATACTAAGTCGAAAGATACTATACAATTGTTTCTACATGAAGCCATTGGGAATAATAACACTATATCAAGAAATGAAAGCTCATTGACACCGATAGATCTAAAGAAGAAAATAAATTCAACTGTTCATAATAAGACTGATAAAATCAAACAAGAGGTTTTAGAAACATATTCTTCCTCGAATTCAAACAAATCTAATCGCAGAAAAAATCTTAGTACCGAATCGGCAGAAACATCTGAAGATCATTTGCAACGGAGAAATAGTCGTGTTAATAAAAGAAAACCATCTAGGTATTACGATGAATATGATGCTAGTGAAAGCATTGAAGTAGGAACAAAACAAAGAGTAAACAGAATAAGGCAAAGACCAAAGGAAAGGCGTATTGTGAATTATAGAACTGATTATAGAGACGAAGACGATATTGAAGATGAAGATTACAATGAAGACATAACTAGGATTCGTAAAAATTCATATCGCAGAGGATCACAAGGCCGAAGAGTTTCGAGCAGATATCCTAATCGTAATTATGATTATGAAGATGATATCGAAATTGCTGAAAAGCCTCGAATGAGGATGAAGACTATTAGTACTTCAACTAGGTCAAAAGGTCGATCTTATTATGAAAGCGAAGTTGAAAATAGACGACATAGGCCAGAAAGACGAAGAAAAAATGAAAGAAGGCGTCCTTCAATCACTGAAGATGAAATTGCACCTTACAATAAAACAGAAGAATTACGGTTAAAAATGCTGAAAAATGAAAGCCCTAAAATAATAGTTCAACTGAATAATGAGAAAAATGAACCGAAAAATCAAAAGCTAATAAGAAACGGATACGATATTTTGGAAAAGGATGATGATTATTTGGACCAAACTGAACATTATGTTGATGAATACAATGATCCAGTAGAATATGTTCCTAATGATTATTTAGATTATGCAGATTTGAGAGAACATAGCAGAGGCGGAGTTAGTCGTCAACGTAATCGAAACAGATTTGACGACGACATTGAACCGATTCCACGCAAAAAATCTCATCGACGAAATAAGAGTAGGAAATTCAATGAAGACGTCACTTTAGTTACTGAAAAGGAGTTCTCAAGTACTGAATCTATAACCCAAACTAACATTGAAGAAACTACCACTATTATCTCTCCGAATGAATATTCAGTATCTGATGAAATTATAACGTCACAAGAATACGATGAGTACACAACTGAGAAAGGGACAGATAAATCTGATAAGGATTCTGAAAATATAACACTTACAGTCGAAATTTCTAGTACCGAAGGAATTTTGAAGTATACCGATGAGTTACCTCGATCAGACAATAAGGATGGCCAAACAAGAAGGAGGAATGAAATAGTTAATACAACGGTAAATGAAGAAGATTACGTCGATGATAACTATGAACCAGTGCATTACGCTCATATAAACTTTGATACAACTGAACCAAAAGTCATAGAAGAACATAATAATCCGATGCATACCATTAACCAGCACCCACATGTGCAAGTTATACCTGATAAAAATGAAACAAAAGATACAATTAGTTTAAATGTAGATAGTAAAGAAGATTACTATGAAGCTTATGAAGATAAGATAGATAACACAACATCTGAATCATTTTCTAAAGAATATGATGATATAGATATGACTACTGATACAATTAGTACCTTCTCTACTACAGTTCCTAGTTCGATTTCAACGACGCCGATCTCTACTTCTTCAACAACAGCAACCACAACTACAACAACCACAACTACAACAACTACAACAACGACGACTACAACATCTGCTCCTACAACTACAACTACAACGCCTACTTCTGCGACTGCAACGAGTATAAGTACAACTACAATTCCAGTTCCCTCTAGTACATCAGTAACAACGAGGAATAAAGCAACATCAAAGTTTTTGAAACCTATATCTTTTAGAAAAAATTATGGTTACAATACACAATCAACGACGCCTAATGCAGTTGTAATAAGAAGAGGGCCGTCCAGTACAAAAGCAACCAAACTTCCTCCAAGTTACAACGATATTGGTGTAAAACCACTTATTCGTAGATTACCTTTATTGTCAAGAACAACAACGACTACTTCCGAAGCTACAATCATAGAAGAAAAGTTACTTGAAGAAACTATGACGCAATTAGTCGATAGTAAAAACAAGAATTATAACGAAAACAATAATCACGCTGTCAACAGATATTCGTCATCTGCCGAAAATGTTACTAATTTTTCTGAAGCAAATAGAATTAAAAATAATGAGGTAACCACGGAAGATTTTGGTTCCATAACAGCAAATATCAGAGAACCAATACCAACTACTCCTTTTTCCATGATATCGCCGACAATAATTAATCAAGTTTTGCAGTCGAAAGATCATCGGATAACAAATGAAATACGTAGACAAAATTTCGAGGCAAACGATTCAAACAATGTACCACAAAAACCAGACGATTCGACAACAGAAACATCGAAGTCAGAATCTGATTCAGTGACGATAAGTCAACAGGTTTCCCAGTTAAATGCTACAATAAAAGCTACAAATTATAAAGCATTATACGTTCAAAGTACAACAGCAAGAACGTTTAGACCATCAGAAAGACGGAAATTAGAACTCACATCGGTGAAAACACTGATTCAAAAAACTAATCAAGGTCCAAAGCAAGTACCTGGATTTAATTGTTTAGAGAAAGAAATGTATCGATTCTATGGTGACGTTAGGGATTGTCGTTTATTCCACTATTGCTCTCCGGGTTTCACAGCTAGACAAGTTCTCGATTTCCGATTTGTTTGCGAGGAAGGTACGATCTTTGACGAAGAAAGTCAGAGCTGTAAACATGACGTGCCAAATCCCAAATGCGTTAAAAGAGTTTGGTGAATGAGCAAGCCAAAATTAGCAAATTATTTTCATGGCTAGTTTAATCATCAAGTACGGTTGCACTTTAAAAAAATCGATTTTAACAGTGCAGTTTGAATCATGAAAAAATGAAATGATTATTTTCTTTATTGATTCAATTTTTCATAGAAATCTTATCGATATTTTTGTTGATGATGTTTTCAAAAGTTCTATGGGAAATTGAACAAACACGAAAATGCAAAGAATTGATTATTTATTTCGTTGATTTTGGTAATTTGTGAATCCTAGATGACTTTTAGTGCTTATTTAAATGTCTTTACATGACACGCGTTGTATTATTAAGTAATGCCATAACATTCCTGTATAATTATATTATATTGCGGATAATGGATTCACTCTTATTAAAATTAATGATAATTCTCGTTTAATGAAGTTTTGGCGAGATTCAAATTTCAATTTTTATAATGGAATGATATTTTACTAGTTTTCATTATTTATGCAACTATTATCTATGAATGAAATGTTTAGTCTTTATTTTTGTACTCGTTAACTACGATTTTAAGGAAATCAAGGAACTCCCTTTGTCATATTTTCATTGTTATTAATGAAATATGAAAGCTTATAAAAATTGTTATCGTTCGATCGTATAACATGACTGCAGAAAACGAACCTTGGAAAGGAGTCTCCTTAATCTTGCCTTAGAAAATAAGATTGATAGTCGATTTATAAATTATCAATTTTGTCACAAGGATAGTAATAATTTTAAATTATACTAGAATATAACTAATTTGTAATCACTCATGCGTCAAAGTATGATTCAAGTGAAATTGACATCCACTAGTTCTCATAAGTTGAAAAAATTATTGAATCAAAAGTCGATGAAATCATCGTAGTTTGTAATTATACAATTAATACCTCGTTTAATATCCCTGTTTCATATGAATACTTTAAAATTGCTGCTACGCAAAATTTTATCAGGTGAATCAATTAGCAAACTTCTTATGTATTTTGTCTAATAAAAATAAATTCGAATTCTTAATAAAATTGTATATATGACATATTATTACATTTATATTTGTAAGCAATCACACACATACATGTACTGTATGAAAGTTGTATAGTGAATATTGATCGTATAGAATAGAATAGTAATGGAAAGCAAATTTGAAATTGTTATTATTTTGCTTTCTAATTTAAGTATGTTATTTTGATGTACAATTTAATTACAAATAAATGTAATTTGTTGATTATTGAATTGAGAACAGGATAAAACGTTTTAAAAAACATATATCACTAGAAAAAATTCAATTATTTACTATTCGAAAATGAATGGAAAATACGAATAATGTTACTACATATAATAGTAATTTTATAGTGAGTACAATGAATGTACTGTGAAGCCACTTCCAACAAACGGCATTTGTATATAAATAATAAAAGGAATAAAGCTCAAAAGTATTTTTCGTGTTATACGAATGTGTATAGACATATTTTATAAGAAAATATACCAGAATAATAAAAAAATTTTATGCTCATACCACCCGAATTAATCATTTTCACAGTTTTTGTCTCCTTAATAACATTATTTTTTTACTAATTATTAACATTGATTAAAAATAAATTTAAAACTCATTACTAAAATCTCGTCGAATAATTAATTTGCCAAGTGCACTGTAGATGGCGTATTTCAATCTCTCTTGATAAAACAGACCTAAGGAGCCTGTACTGCCTGCAGGGCAGGGGTACTATCTATATAAATGTATCCGGATGTGCAGAGCCTCTATCTACAATCGGACTCATTCGTGAACAGCGTTGCACGAGCATATAAAAATTAAAAAATGTTATTGACAGACTGATTATCCCCAGATCAGACCCAGAAAATACTTTACTTACATTACTTACATTTTGCAAATATATATATATATATATATATATATATATATATATATATATATATATATATATATATATATATATAAAAGTTTTTCTTTTTTACGTAAACTTTGAACGATATCTTGCCGAAAAATCAAAATTTGTTCAATCCAACCCTAAGATTTGTTTTGTGCACGACAACTCGTTTTGTGCACGGTAACTCTATGTCTCATTTATTTAAGCATAAATGTCGTGACCGAGCTTTCGAACCATCATCACAGTACGCTCATTGCTCCTGGAGTCCTGAGTCCAATTCCAAAGAGCTCGTTTTTATTCGATATACCCATTCCTAGTCCTACTATTTTCTATTATTATAGGCGCGAACTTTAAATACTACCTGGGGGCCTATTCTGAAAAAAAATTTTGTGGTAAATCAGTTTGTCACTTCAGTTTACCACAGAATTAATCACTTTAGATGTGATAAATGCTTATGACATGTGCTAAAATTTTTTTTCAGAATAGGCCCCCTGTGACCTTCCGAGCACCCCATAGAATCAAAGTGGTTTATAACTATAAGTAATAAGTTGCTGAATTCATTTTATAATTATTGTATGACAAATATTTGCTACATATAATTGGAACTTTTAGGTAACGTAGAGAGTAGTAAATGTTTAGATAAGTTATAGTAATAAGTATGTGTATTTATTTAATTAATTACATAAGTCTGCATGATTTTGCCAACTGAGGGTCTCTTCCGAAGTAATTTTTTGCGTAGAATTCGAATTTATGCATCACGTCAAGTGTTTTAGATATTCTAATCTAAAAAGGCAAAAAAGACGTTTTATGCTATATTTGAGGTTCCGTAACATCGCGAAAAATTTTATTTTCCAAAAACGGGACAAACCGTATAAAAGGTCTATTTTTATTCTTCAAAATCCATTTTTAATATTTAAAATATCTTTTTTCTATTGAGATATTGATTAAAGTCAAGTATTTTAGATGTCTCAAAACAGCTCTTTTTCCGGAAACATATATGTAACATATGCAAAAATACTTGACTTCAATTAATCATATCTCGATGAAAGAAAAGATTTTAAACAGTAAAAATAGACCTTTCAGACGGTTAGTCTCGTTTTTGAAAAAAAAAATTTTCGCTATGTTATGGAACCTCAAATATAGCAAAAAACATTAAAAGTACGTAGTTATTATAGTATGAAAATTTACTGCAATGTGAAAGTCAACCTCAGAGAACAAAATTATAAATCGAAACTCATAATATCTTCTATACGTTTCGTTCGATATGTTTCCAGCCTCTTCAGCACTTTAATTATTACACAAAACAAATTATGTACTATTACAAAATCATTTGTTTTTTTTTCTTTATTAAGATACGCTAGTTCTAAATACTCAATATAAATGTTTAAAAAATATGCTTACTAAGCTGAAGAAAGCATAATTAATTTTCATTAAAAAAAATGCTTTCTTTAATTATAATATTTTTGTATGTTTTTTTTTGGTTGAACAAGAAGGAGTGGGGATATTTGTTTCAGTTGTGTTTTAATTAGCTAATGAACAGTTTTACTTGTCGTTATCGATCATTTGATATCGTTTATTATGAATATAAGAAAAAAGAAAAATTAAAAAAAAATTTGACTACTCTTGTTAGACTTTTAACTGTAAGTTTGATATATGCGATTTGCAATAAAGTTTCAATGTAAGTGTGACATTTGAAAAATCAAAAGGTATATTCTGTTCACAATGTATTAAATGTAGGTGTTTACCTAAAAAAAATATAAATGATTTTGTAATGGTATATAATTTATTTTGTACAATAATTAAATTAGTGAAGTGGTTAGAAAAATATCCAGCGAAACATATAGGAGATATTATGAGTTTCGATTTATAATTTTGTTCTCTGCGGTTAGCTCTCACATTGCAGTAAATTTTCACGCTATAACTACGTACTTTTTAAAATATAAGCTAACTAGTGATGTTTAACGCGCCTCACGCGTTCCTTTTATTTTTTGCATTCATTTTAATGCACGAATATAGATCACATTTTTATTGGTGAAATAGAACATTCGGAAATTCAATCTGCATTAGATATTCCTTTAATTTGATATGAGATATAGCCGACGATATGATTTATTGATAAATAAATATGCAGTTATATAGGTAATCATGATTTCAAAATGTTAATAAAGTTTTAAGTTTTTCGCATCCTAAGTTCTGTGTTAAAAAATCATCATTCAAAAATTTGGAAAACATGATAATATTATGTTTAATCAAGATTAGTATTTGTAGTAAAAACTAAATGGAGTTAATTTTAAGTTAGGTGGTTGCACTGATATTCTAGAGAAAATGAGAGTGATTGAGTTTTGAACGTAGAAAAAGCAGGTCGCAAGTTGACGTTAACATTATTACACAGTGTGGTGCAAGATTTAAGAATTGTAGCTTAGTTTTACTTTTAACTTATTATATTTATTAAATAAACATTCAATTTATCTTAGTTTTATAAAAATTTGAATTATTATTATTTCAACCTTTATTATTTTGTTTGATAATTTAAGAATAACAATGTATTGTAAGTTCTTAAAATATTATAGTTTTCTATAATCATATCCCTCACGATGTAAATAACATAATTCGGCATAGAACGTTCACAGTTGTAATTGTGCCTTTTTAAACAAATTTTCTAATACTGTACAATATTTTATCGTGATAATCTGTCAATTTATATCTGTCCTTTTAAAGTTAATTTTGTCCATTTAAAATTAAACTTTCGCTTGTAGCAAAATTCAATTAATTTCTTTACTGAGGTATTAGTCGCTCATTATTTTGAGGTTAATATAATTAAAGCGATCAATTCATATGAAATTCATGCCAACTATACTGATGCACTTTTCAAACATTTAATTATTTACAAAAATCGGCGATAATCTTTCATGAATATACACAACATATACCTATAGATAATTGCCCACAACAGCTGATCACGTGACTGTCTTTCAGTCAATCAGCTCACGAATAAACTAGCTTCACTTTATCAGATTCACTTTTTTACAAGAGGAGGATTATCATAACTATTGACATATATGATTACATGGAACCAAACTAATACGACAACTTCAGCAAATATTTCATTAGGGCAGGAAATTTTCATACTGTAATAACTATTTACTTTTTAAAATACATGACTACATGTAATAGATCAGTCAGTTAATAAATGATTAACCAAATACACATTTTATTACTATAACTTATCTAAACATATACTGCTATTATCTAGGTTACCTCAAAATTCAAATTATATGTAGCAGTCATTTTTCACCTAGCGACTATAAAATTAATCCAGCAACTACAGCAATTTTTAAATTATAATTATAAGCAACTTTATAGATTATAAGCGATGCTCGGAAGCTCACAAATAGTATCCAAAGTTTGCGCCTATAATCACAGAAAATAGTTGAACTAGGAATGTGGAATAGGGGAGCAGTAAGTGAACGGAAGTTGTCTACTAGGATCCTTTTTTTCGATACATGCTATCGAAACTCCATACCGAACATTCAGCAGCCTCATGATACGGTTTACGAATGATACTTATTTTATATCTCAATCTGTATAATTATTGTTTAATTTAATATGGATATTTTTCAATAGCATGTCTATAAATTATCAATATTCAATAGCAGTGTTATAAATTAAAAATTTGTATTTAGTGTAAAATTGGTTACGCACAATAAATTTTTTATTTAGTTGATCGGTCAGTTCAGTTATATGTATTCATATTTGAGACCCATCGTTTCAAATGCTGAGAAATTTTCTAAACATTTTAATTTACTCAATTTAAGTAACTTAGCAATTTTAGCATTTCGCAGATGCAATACTTCATCAGTTGATAATATGGCTCCTCTAAAAATTGGTACACACAATGGACATTTTCATTGTGATGAAGTTCTGGCCTGTTATTTACTTAAACTTCTTCCAGAATACAAAGATGCTAAAATTGAAAGGTAAAAGCAATATTGATTCTGTACACGTAGGATTTGTTTACATAGGTAAACATTTCTACTTATTTAAAACTTACAATGTTTTAGAAACAATAAACTACTTGATTGATTTTCTTAATTATTATTTTCAGGACTCGCGACCAAAATATTTTAGATACTTGTGATATTGTAGTCGATGTTGGAAGTGAATATGATCCCAAAATACATAGATATGATCATCACATGAGGTAAAAAACAATAGTAAAATAGTTATTATTAGTTTTCAGGAAATTTTAGAATTATTTTTCAATGTATTATCTTTATTTTAATAGAGAATTTAATGAATCAATAAGTACTGTAATAAATAAGCCAGGCTATACATGCACCATGAAATTAAGCAGTGCTGGTTTAATTTATTGCCATTTTGGACATAGAATTATCAAACAGTTAGTTCCTGAAATACAAGATGCTGATGATATCGAAAGAATATTTAAAAGAGTGTATGATATGTTCATCAAAGAAATTGATGGAATTGATAATGGAATACCCATGTTTGAAGGAGAACCTCTGTAAGTAACAAATCTAATATTTGAAAACTTATCAGTAAAATTACATTTTCATTTTTATTATAGGTACAGAGTACATACTGATATATCTTCAAGAGTGGGAAGATTGAATCTTCAGTGGAATTCAGTCCATCTTAAGGAAGAAGATCAATTTCAGAAAGCTATGGCTTTGGTTGGAAAAGAATTTACCTACTTTGTTGAAGTCACAGCATGTACATGGTTACCTGCTCGAGTACTTGTAAAACAATCTATTCAAAACCGTTTTGAGGTACTTGATAAAAAAATAACAGTAATATACAAAATATCTATAAATCTATTGAAACTGTATATTTGAATAATTGTTATGTAATTTAGAGTATACATTAAATGTAATTTAGACTTTCAATTTCTAATAGAAATTTAATGATTTAGGTGGATCCTAGTGGCAAGATAGTAGAATTAATTAAATCAGTGCCATGGAAAGAACACTTATATGATGTGGAAAAGGAATTAGGCATTGAAAATGAAATAAAATTTGTCATTTTCAAAGATAATAATTATAGAGTTCAAGGGATACCTCAGCAATTAGGTAGTTTTATTTGCAGGTAATTAATTCTGCTAAATGCAAATTATCTGTTTATTATATAAAGACAATTTGTATAGACAACTTAATAGTAGAATATTAGAACCCTAATAATAAGCGACAATGATTATTGTCAATATCATATAATCTTAATTATAATCTTATTTTTTGATAACTTTATTTATTCCAGAGTATTTTTACCCGAGCCATGGAGAGGTAAAAGAGATGACGACCTAAGTAGTTTATCTGGAATTAAAGATTGTGTGTTTGTTCATTCATCTGGATTTATCGGAGGTAACAACACTAAGGAAGGAACTTTAGCAATGGCTCGCTATGCATTGAAATTTGGCGAAGTTGATGATATTTCATCATATTGATATGATAGTTGATTAATTATTTGTATCTTTTGTATATGAAAATATTACACGGTTAATTAATCATCTTTTGATAAAATTAATTATGTTTGTTACCTAATATCTGCTTCAAATACAAAAAAAGGTCAATAATTATAATAAAAGTTAGGCACTTTTGCAAATTAATGCTTTTATATAGGATTCTGCAAAAGCTCGAGTTTTTATGATATGAATTCGGCTGCAGCTTTTAAACACCACAAATAAATTTAAAGAATACAGCCATATTAACCAACTGAAAAACATAAACGAATAAAAATTTTTAAAGGTTCAACAAAAATTTTGAAGTTCATTAATTTAACAGTTAAGACTGTACATAAAATTTAATGGATTTAAAGTTTCAATTTAAATGAATTTCTACCCTTGACTCTGTGCCTGATCAAGCTTTTGTAGGGACCTAATTTCAAATTTTTTATTTTTTAATTACAATACTGCTATATATGTTATATATTTGGTTGATTTCGTTATGTTAAAAATAATGAAATTTAGGATGTAATAGCAATAAATTTACAAGGCGTAGTTTCATATACCTAAATCACGATTAAAAATATAAAACTTCAGAATATTCGGCCCAAAATTATTTCCAATGTCAACGTTTTGTGATTGTAAAAAAGTAAAATTGAAGCTGGAATTTATGGAAACTGCTTGAAATTTTATTTTATTACATACAACAATCATTAAATGTAAATAAGCGTTTAAAAATATCTTTGGGCACGATGAATATACTGAAAAAATTGTAATATGATTATTTTGATTCTCCACTGTAATTGGTTGTAGGATAGTTTGAAATAATCATGCTAGCAATAAGGCTTCAAGAACAGTACGTTTTTTAAGAATGAAGAGATGAAGAAGATGCGATTGGTATTTCCTTTTTATGTTGTAAACAAGCACACCCACGGTTTCCCCAAATCGCTATACACACATAAATAAACGTAAAATACAGTTATATTTTTATCTCATCTAATCCTCGATAATTTATGTTGCACTCTTATGAGTTTTTCACATAGAATTACTTTGATAATACAGTATATGGAAGAAATCGAATACGAATAAGGTGCGTGTAAGTTTTAACAGCTTGAACGTTGTTCTGTATATTAACAAAATCTACCTTCAATTAAGCATCTGTACGCTTTATTAAATAGCAATTCAACAAATTACTATTTAATATAATATTAAATAATTTGCACGACTTAATCGTCACCATTTTTGTATATTTTGGAAAATAATAAATTACATGTGCTAAATTCACGTAATTTTTAATCAGTCATGTACTTAAATAATAAAATGTATTTATTTATAAATCTACTGAAATATCTTTAGTAACTCAAAACAAATGGTGTAAATTTAATTTTCAGTTATTGCTTTTATTATAAATCTCTTTTATTATACAAAGATAGTAATTTTAAGTAGTAATATCTCAGTTCAGGTCAAACAAAATTTTAAAAGTGAAATATTTTTTCTGTTTTATTATTATTATTATTATTATTTCAATTTCAATTTATTTTAAATAAAAATAGCAACATTAAAGTAAAAAGAGATATTCAAATAATATTTATAATGATGTACTTATATATGGAAATACGAAAGTTTATTTTTTGCAATTCTGTATAGCTATTCGTGAAATTGAGTTGAGATAATAAACAAGTCCGTATTTGTAGGTCATTAACTATTACGAACCTATCATAATAAGTATGATCCAAGTAGAGTCGAATAATAATTTCAATGATAACATATTAAAAGGAAAAAAAATAAAAGCACAATTTATGATGAATCATTGTGGTTTATATTATAGATGGTACATGATGAAGTAAAACGAGCGCTTACATATAAATAACTGCTGTATAAAAAATCGAAGTACTATTTCTTTATCTGAGTAGTGATGGGTATAAAATTTAATAATGCCGCGTAAATGTCTGGTAATACTATAATATTTAATAAAAAAATCGAGATCAGACGAGTACAAAGAGTCTCGCAATGAAGAATGTTCGTGTACGTCACGAGTTCGTGCAGTAGCAGCAGCTACATGAAAGTACTGAACGGTGGTCGCTCGGAGAGGGATGTCAGCGATGATGATGATATGACGATGCAACTAGTTAATGTATGGCAGCGGCGTGAGCGGCAAAGTGGGCGGCCTTGGCGGCGACGACTTCCGGTGTGTCTATTACGTTTCCGTCAGGTCCAATGGGTGCCGTGTATGGGTAACCATAAGCGTAATACGATGGCGACGAAACGGCTAGAGCTCCGTACGGCTTCAGGGATTCCTGTCAGCAGAAAATGCCAAGGGATATTGCAACAAGAGAGCGCTAATGACTTTCGGTCTGGGAACAATGGACCCGCCACATGTTGCTCTCCACGCGCTCGCATTCTTCGTTACGGGCTAAGAAAATCAGAGGTGTGTGCGAGTGGGGTAATTTTATTCAAGTTTTCTTATTAGCCAGACAAGCGTGACGAAATGATTATCATCGAGAATGCAAATCTGATGGCTTTAGCTAAAGTTTTTTCGAGCCTTAATTCAGACTTCATATTGTGAAAAAATTTTCCTAGCTTGTTGGGTAATAGCCGATGCCAATATAATAAAAAATGTTTTAACATAATATTTGAACAAACGTACTTCATGCGCATTGTTTGCTAATATCTGAATACAAGTTGATTCATAGGATACTTATTAGTCAATATTGACAGTTCAATGTTCCCTGTACCAAAATTGTTCGTCAAAATACAAAATGAATGACAATTTGCTAAAAAGTTCGTCGCGCGTACGAAGTTATTTATTATTTAATGTGAATTCAGTCTGAATTTGAAACACTCTTTTATTCATTTTTAGCTAGTAACTTTAGAATAATAGCTAGGTAAAGACATTAAAAACGGAAAGCATTCTTTTTTAATAAAGCTTAGGCATTGGTATACATGCTACATGGTACCAACAATTATCGACGTTAAGAAAAGAAAGTCCCTGCAACGCAGCATCAGCAGCGGGATGAAAAATAAGAACCGGAACCTCACAACCATGCCCGAAGCTCGTGCAATTGAGCTGCATGCAATGTGTAAAACAAACCTTAGCGTGAGCAGCAAAATGCGCGGCCTTGGCAGCGGCGACCTCGGGGGTGTCGAGTACACGGCCATCGGGTCCAAGGGGTGCTGGTCCGTAAGCAACCGGGCTGTTGTAATAGACGGGTACGGAATAGGCAATGGGTGCGGTGTAAACGTACGGGGCGTAGCCAAGAGTATTCCTTGCAGCCTCGTAGTTGTAACGAGCAATGTGAGCAGCCTTGGCCGCTTCTACCTCTGGGGTGTCCCTGGGAAACAGTGCTCCGGCCATACTTTGACCAGCGAGAGCCACCACGAACAATGCGATCTGTAATCATCGGCAAAGGACCAAGAACAACGTTCATTTGAGCGCGCGCTTGGCCGGCTTTTACGGTGTGTATTCACGAGCGATTTCTTTTTCAATATCTGTTTCGCCTATTGTTCTCGAAGTTCGCGTAATAGCATTCGCATGCTTGACATTCCTGCGCTACTTATCTCTGCAAGTGTCGTGAGTGCATTGTTGTCGCGATTTTTGTCGCTCTTGTTGCACGCTTCCACGCGCCCGATCCGATCTCGATTGCTTGTTCTTTTTCAGTTTTGGTGATTTCGTAATGTTTCTTACGATGGAACTCACGTAGAAATCACCGTCACGAGAAATCGTCGTCAATATAATCGCTTGTTAATGTCGGTTTTCCCTCCAACTCGGAAAGCGTATATCAAATTGATTACTATTGACCGCTCGTTTGCTCATGCGCGTATCGTGAATCACGTTTTCTTTTCTGCGCGCCTTATCAGTGTTTTCCAAGCTAACAATTTTCTAAGTCAAGAAACGCATAAAAATACAGAGGCACGTCTTCGAGCATTCATATCGAAATTTCTATTTATAAGCACACAAGTATGTAATTTTAGTATTTTGCTCTGACGTTAATAGCATAGTTCGTCTTATACGACGTCATTTTCATAAATTAGCTTCGCACTTGAGCGTTTTCTAAGTCTTCACGAGAAAAAACGTTTCTTTGTCACAGCTATACAGAATTTCACTTCAATCTTGCCCGTAGTTCTGTAAAAATACCAAGCTTACGATTTTCATCGAACCCGCTGATAGACAAAGGCAACCATGATTAAAAATAAATAAATAAATAAAGCTCAAGCTTTGTTTGTTACTCAACTTCACCAATGAAAAATCGTTATTTCAATAACCTTCGTTGAAATAAGCTTAAGATCAGTTTTCAGTGTAATTTGTTATATCGAACGTCGAGTAATTGATGCGTATCTCTAGCTGCAATAAAACCCAATTAGCAGTATATCTAATACGGTAAACATAGACGGGTAGGTGTATAAGGTTTCTCATGAAATAAATCGTGAAAAAAATGTACCTAATCCTTTATGCCGTATTTCACATGCCACGGGAACCAATGAAAACATGACACTTCCTACAGTATTTGAATAGACCACAACGAAATTACACCTATTGCACAAACATTCCGATATGGGGGTTTTCATTCGTTTGCATTCTAACTGGAATTATTTGTCATTGAAAGAGAAACCAAAGAAAACAGTGTGTTTTTCATGAAACGGTAATGTACTGGATAAATTGAAAGGAAAAATGTGACCGCGGCATACCGACCTCGTCCGAACAACTTAGGTTTGATTTGAAAACGAGAAAAAGCATCATCCGAGAAAAGCCCGCGTGTGCTGTGCCAATAAAAAAAGAAACGACAAGCTCATTTAAAGTATATAACGCAGCAGTGGAAAGCAGTGGCAGTAGAAGAAACGACCTGTGGCCGGCATTCCTACTGCTACTGGCGTGCGGCGAACGATCTAGAAGAAAGCACGCGTGCGCGCGCCCATACCGAGAAACGTCCCGCAGCCGTAGCGCGCGAGCTGTGAAAAGCGACGACAGACACCGAGAGAGCAGCGGATTGTAATACTCACGAATGCCTTCATAGCTGCCTGAGTTGTGCGATGCACACGAGAGATACACGGACTTAGCAAGAGATCCTCTGCGAGTAAGGCTCGACGTGTTCCCCTTATATATAGGAAGTCGCCGAACTCCTGCGGGCGACGCGCCGCTGCCGCCGCCGCCGCCACGCTATGCCGCATGCACTACCTACCCCCAGCAGCAGCTGTGCTCACTTACCGCGTACGCGGCAAGTAGTAGGGATATACGTACGTATTATGCGTATACGTACAGCATGCCCTGCAGCTCTCTCGCAATGATGCTGACATTGACATTAAAGGCTCTTCGAGGTCGAGCACATTGTAAGACGGGATGCTGCCTCCGCCCAACTTGCTCTGCGCCTCTTTATCCTGTACCTTATTCCGCGACTGCCGCGAGCTTCGAGAGCGCTCGATAATACGCTGCCGATGTTTACACGGTAAGGGAGATGCAAGTCGACTCGTACCTTTATTCTTCCTTTCTTTTCTTTTCTTTTGGTTTGTTTGTGCACTTACGCGATTCCGCATTGTCGTTACCGCGTGGGATCGCCTGTGTTTTTATCGCTCGTCTCATTATCTTCATGCTTCCTTTTAATTGAATCTAACGTGTTTCAAAATATTGTCGAATACCACATCGTCTTGACTTTCCCGGATATTCATAATGTATGTTCACGTAATTTTTTATCGATGACGAAGCGAATAATCACGTTGCAAGATTAATTATGGAATCATCTTCTTCTCCACAGTGGCTTTTGAAGAATAAATAAAAGTATTCATATAATTAGGATCCTTTTCCAGGGTTCTATTAATGGTAAATTGTATTAAAGATTTTTTTTCGTCTGTTTAAATTACATTTTTATATTTTGTTGTTGAGACAATCTTGTATCGGGAAGAAAATTTCCGATAGTTTATTAGATAAAAATTTTTAAAGACAAATATCATTAAATTAATTTAGGTTTTTCAAAAATTTATTATACATTCAATGATTCTGACACGAAATAACATTTGATATTAAAATCATTAGCACTCTATATTATATAATTTGTCGAAATGAAATTGAATAGTACAAAAATGGGAGTGTATATTGAAATTGCAAATTATTTTTTATTTAAAGATTTTAATTCCCTTTTTTATGAAGAATCGTAAATAACAACATAAATATTAACTAACGCACAGAAGAAAAATAATAAATTAATTTATTTGTTCATTGAGACATCGTTATTATTACATAATGATGTTTAAATATACGACATTTAACAATTTTTGTAGAAATATCATTTCAAGTAAAAAAGTCAATACACAACTAAACTGCAACGTTAAATACTACAGACTGTGAAAAAAAACTACAAAACTTGATGCATCTGTAAATGGCATCAGATAATGTTTCGTCCAACTGCATTGGAAGGTCAAGTTTGGTAAGCCACGAGTTGCATCCGGGATGGGGTAAGATACTTTTTCCGAGCTCAGACAAAAGAAATTAAAAAGTGGTTGAAAAAAAGACGAGCACTAATTTTTTCCAGAGTAATTCTACTTATTTCTTATTTATCAGGCGATATTTATATATTAATTAAACAGAATTATAAAATGCACTATAGTTTTTGTCTATCAATAAAATTTGTGCTTATTATTAAAAAACTTCAATTTTATAATTTAAATTCTGTTTTCTGGCATAGAAGCACGAAAAAATTCTCATTATTCGTTGTAACACTGTTAAAGTAGTATTTCTATTTTTAGATTATTTTTTTACGAAAGGATAAATTATTATACAATTAAAAATGAATTCTATTATATCGACTAATATGATACTATAAGGAATTAACAGGTGTTTGGAAAAAGCTCAATAGTCTATCAATAGCGTGAAAGCTTGAGCAATTATAATCATCTGTCGTGTTCTACATATGTATAACATGGTAATCAGAAGCATGAAACTTTTTAGGTGAAGGCAAAACAAAGTTATGCGACGCTGAATTAAACTGAATATTCAAATTAATGGTGACTTTTTCCTATAAACTACAAGTAAATTATATTATTCAAATTGCGAAGATATAAATGGATTGTTTGTAAAAAAATATAATCGATAATCAATAACGATAATCTAATGTACTTTTGCAACGTTTAAAATGAACCTAGTTTTTGAAGTAACAATAGCAATAACAATGTAATATAAATTGTTAAAAAGGAAAAGGCGAAATTCAACATTGGAAAAATGTAAAATCTGTGAAAATAATGAATTCCTCTCTGTTAATGTATGAGTAATCTGACGGACTTGCGTGATTTATGAAGTCTTTCCAATTATGATAACATTGCGTTAATGTATTCATAAAAAAGTTCATAGAATCTAACAGTGCCCGTTTACGTATATTATAATTATTATAATGCAAATTAATATATATTCAACGAATAGGGATCTAATGACTCAATAAAAACGTAATCATTCTAAATCCAAGCAATAAGGATTTTTACTTTTGTACAATTCTTAATTAATAATTTATTTCTTATTATGAAACACGGTTAAGATATTCTATTAATATTAAACAGTGCACATTATCTCTAACGAAAAGTAATATATATATATATATATATATATATATATATATATATATATATATATATATATATATATATATATATATATATATATATATATATATATATATCCAATTTTATCTTCGTTCGCAAAATAATGCATCTTATACTCGGATATTTATGGGGATAAAAATTTAGCACATCAGCCAATGCAAAATGAACTATTCATCCTGGTGACTTGAATAATCATGAAAGATATAATCACCACCTTTGATCGCAAATCATTAAGTAGTACGAGCTATCTCCATGGCATTATCAATAAATTACATACTATTTAGGGCGTGTCTGCGGAAAAAAATTAATAAATAACCAGTATGTCTGTCTCTCGTAAGAGCAATTACGGATATTATTTGTCGCACGAGTGCTCTTAGCATATATAAAAACAAAGAAGTGAAAATTGAAGCGTTCGAGCTGCATCAGCGCTCACGAGACCGTAAAGAGGAAAAAAGGTTCACGTGACGCGACGACGGCAGGTGCGGAGGCTGTATTATAAATAAGTACCGCGATGCTGCGCTCGGAGAGAGAAAGATGAAGACAAGAAGGTCCCAGATCACTTGGAAGGTCGCTTGATGTTTTTTCCCCCAAGTAGCCGTGTATTGCAATACAGGCACCTGAAGTATCCTGGCGTGTGTTTCTCCAGTTGGGGCGCTCTTTTAAATCGCCAGGCTCGTTTCTTTCGTTTCACTTGGCGCTCGAGATTTCTCTTGTAACCGATTCTCGGCACGCGTGGGAGGCTGTTACGCACTTCCGATGAGTTTTAACCGATTGATGGCGTGCTGTTTGCGATTGCATTTTTTGTTAATGCATCTTGTGTTTATTGAATTGCGTCGCTGCTTACGAGTCCAAAGAGAGTTATTCGTTCGATCTTTGCTTCAGTAAGCTTTTACTTTTGAAATATTTCGTCTTTATTACAAAAGCAATTTTTATTATCACAAACATTTTTAGTTTTATAACTTAAAGAATAACAGTTTTCGGTAACTACAGTAAAATATCAACAATTGAAAGATTTAACTGTTGATATATGAAAATTTATGACTCTCAGTATTAGCAAAACTTTTTATTTACGTTATAATATCACATGACGTCATTAAAAACTTTGATTATTAAAGAAATATTCCAGAAATGCACTTAACGGCGTTGTTTAAAATATATGCTCTTTATTCGTGGGTGCATCATTTCCAAACTGGTTTATGTAAAGTAAAAAATTATATCACTATTTGTAGCGGGTAGTGAAATTCTGATAAAACTTTATGGGATCACTTTACACGATGACTCTCATATGTTTCAGACACTCAAAAATGTAAAAAAGAAAGTTTCTTATTGCCGTGTACAAATGTGATGGCGATATATATTTAACTTGATGCGTTTTCAAAAAAATTATACTGCAGCTCCTTTACTTTAGTGTTATCGTGTTCTTCAAGAAAGGTTTTATTGACTTATTTAAAATCTTAGTGAAGTATTTTAACGGAAATTGAAGATTTTTCCTTGGATAACAATCTAAGTATTAAAAAGATATAACATATTAAACAAATTAAATTTTATGTCTTCAAATGCTAATTCTATATATGTCCGTTTAGCGATGTTATATATCTGAAACGAATATAGCCATTAGATAAAATTGTCATACTCTACTAAAACAAGTTAGAAAAGAAAGTCAAAAGTAAAATATACAACAAAGCAATAAGCAGAGGAGCCGGTAAATCGGTAACAAGAAATCTTCAATCGGTTAAACATTTCACGGAAAGCCTGTCGTAGGGTGTTCACTTTGACCGATCGCAGCGCAGTAGACGTTCACTTGAACTTACCGGCAGAAAACTGCTCGGGAGTTTCGCTTCTCAAGCGAAAGCTGCGCTCAACGTCGTTGATTATTGCACCTCGGCACACTGTGCTCAAGAAACCATGGCGCCAGATCGGTTTCAGTTGTTTCAACAGCCTGCATGAGTTTACACAACCGTCATTCGACCTGCCCGAGTTTTTTTTTTCTCTTTCTCTCACCACTTCTTCACTCGCTAACTTTAAGTAAGGATCAATCTTAATAATGGGCTGGCGCGTACAGTTATGATCTGCCTGCCACACCGCGTATTGTTTGGTAATCACCTATAGACACAGGCAGATGCTTATTTTTGTTTTTCACTTCTTTTCAATTGGGTTAACGACCGATTTTGAAATTGATCCGTAGTAAGGCACTTAACCGATCTTTTATTTTATGAGTGCATACGTCCTTTTGTTATAGGTATCGTACATTCTTTTTGAGTTACTTTTAGTTTGTATAGTAAGATAAAACACATGTGGCTCGCATTATCTAGTACTTATATTTACGTTACTTGGTCAAAATCTTGTGAATATTATAATAAATAACGTGTAAATTATTTTTTCATTTTTAATACGTATCGCTTTAGTTTGCCAATTAAAACCACAAGTTCTTTAACAACAATAATTTTTTATTTGAAAAATGTGGTATGTAAGTACAATTAGGAACCAACATAACTTTTAAACATACATGCACCGAATCAAATATTCTTAGGCAGCTCGGGAGCTTGTT